AATCAACTACATGAGCAAGGCAGAAGCTTACAAAAAGCTTTTAATCGAAAATCAGGATGCGCCAACCATTCGAAAGCTCCTGCAATACTGGAACATGCAAGTTTTTCCACAATTCCTCCTCGCTCCCGACTCACAGGATGAAGAAGAAGAAGCACCACATGTCCAGGTTGATGCTGATGAAAACCCAGGTCTCAATTCCATGTTCTGTGGACTGCGTATGGGAGCCGATACTTCTTCAGCTCCCACTTCGAAAAATTCTAGCTCACTCCCACTCCCCCAGACCCTTCCAACCGATGTAGAGTGCGTGAACGCCCACTCAGATGTGGAACGGGCGCCGGATTTGCATCCAAACATGGAAGCGCACACCCCTGCTCCTGTCGTGCCCATCTCCCAATCAATCAATTCACCCTGTGGATGTCGTCGAGTCCCCACGCCAGTTCCCTCAACCTCCGAGGCTGTTGCTGATGTGCCTGCGCCACCTGCTAAAGCTCCCCATGGTCAACGCCCAAAACAGGTTTCGGTTGTTCAAGTTGATGCTGATTCAGGTGCCGGAATACCTGCGGCACTTGCTCGTCCAAGTCAGCAGATGTGTGGTGCAAAATCGAAGGCAAATGCGAAGTAGCTGGGTCCAGCATTGTGAGGGCATCATCGACGAGCAGCCGTTGAATGGTGATTGAGCATGCTGAGCTACTACATCTGTGTTGTATCAATGTCTAGCTACTGCAATTGACTGGATTCACTTGTTTATTGCATTATGGACTGAGTTTTTTACTTATTACTGTTCTTTCACCTATCTAGCTAAGTTTACGAGGAGCGAGAACAGCACTCTGTATCAACTGTATTGCGAGCCTAGCACTCGTCATGACAAATTAAGCTAGATATTATTGCTAAATATGCCCCCATAACCAAGTGGTAACTATAGCCAAGTCAGTAAGCACATCATAACAAAGTAAGTAATCAATAGGTTCAGAGTTCGATTCCCTCTAATAACAATTGTTCAACAGTACAAAGTAACAACATGACTACAAATCCGCAGATTGACTAGTAAGAAAATCACACATTACAATTGAGCTATGAGCTCACTACAAATTTTCGTTTCATTTACAATTGAGTGGTACCTTACAATTGTCCCTTTGCGTTAAAATGGTCACATCTTGTATTATAGTACATTTCTCCTTGATTATAATTGGATTATAATTCGTTCAGGTGGTTACGTGCCTTACCTGCCTTATAAGGCTTCCCGGGTTTTTCTGACATAGCTTCACAATCATACGCGCATCTCATTTGTCAAAACGGTTCAAATCTGTCTGTATTGTATTCCCTTCAAATAAACCTTTGTATAGCTAGTGCACATGTGCAACAACATATGAGACGCATCCTCTCTGTAAGCTCTCCCATGCTATCATCATGCCATCGCGAACTTAAAAGAAATTTCCATGCTTTCCATTAGTGTTATCCCTCTTCCATCTCCCCCCACTTTTATCACTAAGTCAAATGACTGCTCCTCTATCTGACTACCGCATGCACCCACCAATCATCTCAACTCGCTGACTTCACGTACATGAGGTGTTCGTTTTCTGCCTCCTTTCATTGTTCCTTCTTGATCTCAAACCCCCAGGGGACTTTGGACAGGTATTTTCTCCATCCTATGACATGGAACAACTCGTTAACTGATACTAAGCTCCGTAGTACATGCAAGAAACATCAAGATAGTCAAACATTGTATGGTACATCTCACCAATCTCATTCCTGCAGATGTCCAGCTCAGGCTAATTGAGACCAAGACAAACATACATGTTCTTTGCACTCTCGCATCACAGCTTGCAACAACTTCACATGGCCAAACAACCTTCGAGTCAAACTCGCTCTTCCACATCAGGAACGCAGGGAACAGGGGAAACACAGGGGGCATGCGATGACAAAGGAATTAATTTCGGAAGACGCCAAGGGAATCAGGGGCCAGTTTATATTGCATGCTGGAGGCTCCAATGTTCCAACAAGTAAGTTGCTAATCTCGTTCAGGTGTACATAAACTAGGATCTGCTTGTATCGTACCAAATTGAATGTTAAAAATGATTTTCAAATGATTTGAACTATCAGATCTCATCAGATTCAATGATTTTACTAGACAGTTTTCATCATAGCTCAACCGATTTCAGCAGGTGAGTTTATGCCATGTTTGTGAACACAAATGATGTGAGCAGATTTGAGCAGATTCTCATCTGCTATAGTCTGAACATCTGCTGAAATCGGCTTTTGCCAATTTGAGCAGAACTCAGCTGACCTCAACCGCCAGGGTTTTGACTGGGGCTGATGGGTTGGCCTCAAGACTTAGTTGCCTAGCTTCATTCCAGTCAAAGGTCACTGTGATAGATAATGGCAATGATCGTGCAAGGCATAACCATTGATCTAGGAGTTCTGCTTGCATCTCCAATTCCTTCTTAGTCAGACAGAAGCAGAGCAATATGGAGCTCCATAGCTTGGGCGTAGAATGTGCCATAACATGCCAAGCATGACAAATACTGCTAATGACGAAAGGCGTCGTTACTGGCAGTTTCTTCTCCCGTCTTTCTGGGAGGCGGCCATGATGATAGGCAAGAAAAAATATGAAAGCACATATCTCAAGAGGCAGATTAAAGAAAGGGAGTTTTGAATTGCCAGTGCACAGAGTTTGCAAAGATCATCGTTTGTTGTCCAATCGACTGATTTCAGCGTCCAGATCATATATAGCAGTTGCATTCGCAGAAAAACCCATTTTAAGTCTATGAATGAGAAGTCCTAGTCAGTGTGCAATGTTAGGCAAATGTCAACAGCATACCAGTGTTGGTAGAGACAGGGTGCGTTGTTTGTTCATTCATGCTACACAGTGTTACAGGCGCACTGAAGTCTGACTCCTCCGATATCAACCCATTTCTCCTCCAGACCACACCAGAAACCCCCTTGAGCAACTAACAAGACACTGGCTTAATGAACGACACACCCCTGACATCTTACAGAGCTCCTCAGTGGGAGATGCTGGACCATCTTAAGACTCAAGCGCCAGGTGTGTGGGCCTTCATCCACCTCCTTCGCGGTGACCCTCCTTCTTACGATGAAAAAGACATTCGGATTATGCTCATGCAGGTGGAATTTGAATGTGTCAAGTTTATTGTGAGTATGTCCGTACGAGCCTGAAGTTGTTCAAGGTGGGTTTTACTTCTCTATCTTTGCAATCGTTGCTACTACTCAAACTGATTGGGAAGATGTAGAAATGTGTTCTGAAGATAGAGAAATACACCCAGTTCGTCACCCCCAACACTGATGTGCAAAGTGAGAGGGACCACCTGAGTTGGTATGCCCTTGCCTTCTTCCCGTGTCCTCCTGTGCTAATCAACGACTCTCTAGACACACGAAAATAACAGACCAGCACTTTTACCTATCTGTCCTACAAAGCCTGCTAGAGGCCCAAGCACACTTGGACGATACACTACCCTTCCATGGGTTCGTACCTTCCCTTTCTTCGTTTCTTCCATTCTTCTCGTTTCCCTCGTTTCCTCATGCCTCCTGCCCTCCCTCCCTTTCTTCCTCCCTATCTTCCTCTATTCTTCCCTTCCCTTCCTTCCTTCCTCTCTTTTCCTTCCCTACCATCACCTGACTTCCTTACTCTCTTAAATCCTTCCCTTCCCTTTTTCCTTCCTTCCCCCCTCCTTCCTTCCCCCCTCCTTCCCCTTCGTTCTTCCCATTACCTCCTCTTCCCCCCTCCTTTACCTTCTACTCCTTGCCTCTCTTCCTTCCTACCCTTCCCCTTCATTTCTCTTTCCCTTCTTCCTTTTACCTTCCCACCATCCCTTCTCCCTGCTTCGCTCACCCTTCCCTCTCTTTGTTTCTGACTTCCTCCCTTTCTCTTCTTTCTCCCTTTCTCTTCTTTCTCCCTTTCTCTTTTTTCTTTGTTTCTCTTCTTACTAACCCTTCTCTTCTTACTCCCTTCCTTTCTCTTACTTGCTTGCTCCCTGCCGGCCTTCCTCTTTTCCTCTTCCCCCCTTCTTCCTTGCCCCCCTTCTCCACTCCAAGTCTTCCCCCCTTCCCTCTCCTCCTTTCTCTCTTCCCTTCCTCTCTTTCATCCTTTCCTCCCTCTCTTTCTTCTCCATCCCTTCCTCTACCTCTTTTCTCTTTTTCTCTTTCTCTCTTTTTCTCTTTTCCTCTTTTCCTCTTTTCCCTCTTCTCTTTCTCTTTCTCTTTCTCTTTCTCTTTCTCTTTCTCTTTCTCTTTCTCTTTCTCTTTCTCTTTCTCTTTCTCTTTCTCTTTCTCTTTCTCTTTCTCTTTCTCTTTCTCTTTCTCTTACTCTTTCTCTTTCTCTTTCTCTTTCTCTTTCTCTTTCTCTTTCTCTTTCTCTTTCATTCCCTCCTTCCTCTCTCCTCATTTCTTCCCTCCCTTCCTCCCATGCTTCCATTGTCATGGAGATCCTCACTCCCCCCTTCCCTCCTTCTTCTCTCTTCCCCTTCCTCCTGCCTCCCATCTTTCTTTTCTCCCTTTCCTTCACCCCTTGCCCCTCTCCTCCTTCCATCTTCCCATCCTTCCTTCCTTCTCCCCCCTCCCTTTTCCAAATGACCCTTCTTCCTTCCTAATTGCTTTACCCAAGCTAATACGGTACACCACCAGTAACAGAACAAGACAAATCACGTCCTGTCTTTGTACACGCATTGACAAAGTTTCCACGGATCTCGTTGCCGGAGTAAGCTTCTTTCCCTTCCGCTCCTACCTCCCTACCTTGCGTTCACCTTTGAGACTCGCTTATGCTCATGCCATTACACAGCGGCGCGACGCTAGACATGGAAAAGAGGCATATCTCACTTACGCCGTACTCTGTTGTGGAACAGCTCATTGCAAGGGGGGAGGTTAAACTCATCTATTGTAAATTACCATTATGTACTTCAATTTGTGCATACATGAACAGCTTATTTTCCTGCCTGTTGTGAGTAATAAATATTTGTATTCAGTGTTTTGCACTGACAACTACTGACGAAAGGATAGACATGTTTGACCTATATACTTTCATAAGGAAATCATTGATGTTTGTCTCAATCAACAAGCTTAAACGCCAAATGCATGCCCTCCTTGCGCAATTCCTTCACAATGACAGACTGTTCCATCTCTGTGACCAATTTCGGCAAATCAGTAATGAACAGGCTGAACTCTTGAAGTCGCTCAGCACCAGCATCAGAGTGGAGACCAGCATTCCACCTAGCTAGAAGCACTTTTTCCAAGGTGTCAACCTCAACACTATTCCCTGAGCCCACATTTCTGGGTTTCATGATGGTTTGCAATTCGAGAAATTCAAGTCGACCCCGGTATGTAAAATTTGTCAAATGTGGCAACGGTAAACTGCCCGATGTCGTGTTGGGAGTGCTGAAATAGTTGAAAAACCTCTGAGGCCAATGGTGTGGAGATGAAGTCCATAAATTTGATTGGATATCAATCTCCAAGTGTGACAGGTTGGGGAGTGCATTGAATAGCTTCCACATCAACTCTTCCTCTGGTGGGACATAATTGATGATAGACAAGTGCTTCAGAGCCACACCTGAGTGTGTAAGAAATGCCTTGAAAGCCTCTACTTTGACACTGCCTCCCAGAGAAAGGGTGATAGATACAAGTGACGGTGTCACTAAACACCCCAGCAAATGTTTCGGTTGGCTAGATGAAATCTCGAGTGATACAAGCTTTGAAAGATGGACGAAGCTGCGCGAAGTGTCTGGTGCAATGAACAAAGACTGTTGCCTATAAATTTTGAGATCAGTACATTGGCTGAAGAAGGCTTCTGAGGGCACATAACCCCAAAAACCCAGTTCCTCCAATTGGTGAAGCAGAAGCTCCACATTTTCATCGTCGATCATTACAGTGCGAAGCTTCGGTGCATCACGAAATGTTGTAGAAAATGGTGGCCTTGACCGTGACCATGAATCCACCCCTTCAGTGTCAGTGCACAAGTCAAGTGATTTGAGGTTTGGACAGTGACCCATTCCGGATGCGAAAATCTTGGTCCAGTAAAAGGGGAGGAAAAGATCGAGTGACTCCCACTGATGAGAACGAGAGGTGACGACTGAGGTGACAGCTGCTACAGCTGCTAAGCATTCCTCACTCTGACTATTGAAAGATTCATCATTGTCTGAAGCTTCATCGTCCCCACTTGAAGCTTCAGCAACTTCAAGCTCATCCCGATCAAAGGCCATTATGATAGATAATGGCAATGCCTGTGCAAGTTGCAACCATTGATCAAGGAGTTTTGCCTGAATCTCGGAATGATCCTTGACATATGGCCACACGCAAAGTGATACAGAACACCATAGCTTGGGCACTGAATGTGCCATGACACGCCAGCCATGACAAACAGCACTGATAACAAAAGGTGTCGTCACCAGCGGAATCTTCTCTGAGTCCTGCCGTTCTGGGAGGCGGCCTTTGTGACAAGCAAGTGAAAATATGGCAATGCACAATTCAAGTGGTAGACAGAAAAAGGGGAGATTGGAATTGCACTGGGTTCGCAATGATATCTGCTTGTCGCGTAGGTCTCGTATAATGTTTTCGATGCCATTCACTTCAGCTTCCAGTTCATGGATAGTGGCTGCATTCACAGAAAAAGACATTTTGAGTCTAGGAATGGGAATTCAGCATGCGAGGTTGGGCAAAAGAATGGTTCTGTCAATGGCATACCAGTGTTGAGCTAGAGGTATAGAAAACTTGTAGAAAACGCGAAGATAAAGCGCATTGTTTGTTCATGCTGCCACCACCAATCAACCAAGTGCCCTCCTCGGAGTCCTCAACTCCTCCAATGATATCAACCCATTTGTCCTCCAGACCACACCCAAAACCCCCCTTGAGCAACTAACAAGGCTTTGGATTGACGAACGACACGCCCTCAACATCTGACACACGCAGGAAGAGCTGCTCAGCGGGATGCTCAACCATCTCAGGAGGCAGGAGCGTGGGCCTTGATGCATGTTTATATATTGCGTGTGGATATAAGATGAACGACGGATAGTCAGAAGCCATTCACCTCCTTCGTGGTCACCATTCTTTGTGTGACGAAGAACTTATCTGGATCATGCTTGTGCAGGCAAAAATTGAACGTGTCAAGTTTATTGTGAGATCGTACATCTGTACGAGGTTGTTGAAGGTGTGTCTTACTTTCCTGTCTTTGTGTCGTTGCTGATACTGAATCTGATTGGGAAGATAGAGGAATACGCCGAGTTCGTCACATCCAACATTGATGCTTGACAGTGGTTGAGAAGGACCACACGAGTTGGTACGTCATCATCTTCTTCCCCTTCTTTTTCATGTCCTCTCCTGCTGATCAATGCCTCTCTAGACACGCTAAAGTAACAGACCCACATTTTTACCTCTCTGTCCTACAAGCCTGCCAGAAGCCCAAGCACTCTTGGACAATACACATGTGTTTGTCCCTTCCCTTTCTTTGTTTCTTTGTTTTTTTTCTTTTCTTTTCTCATTTCCCACCACACTTCATGTCTCCTTCCTTCCTTTCTCCCTTTCCCTTCCCCGTTGTTCCCTAACTTCCTCACCCTCTCAATCTTTCCCCTCCTTTTTCTTCTCCTCCCTTTCCCTCCTCTTCCACCTTCTCTCCCTTTTCTTTCCTTTTCTTTTTTTCTTTCTTCCCTTCTCCATCATTTCCCTTTCCTGTCTTCTTTTTTCCTTCCCCCCTCACTCCCATTTCTTGCCCTCTGCTCTGCTCTCTTCAGTTTGGACTTTGAAATTGATACTCTGTCAGACAAGATTGCCCTCCTCAGTTGCGAATCATTAGACAACATGCATAGCCAAGGTGTGGTCATCCCCATCACTCCTTGTACTCAATCACAACTCTCCAATCGGTTCTGCCACATGGAACGCAAGAAACTTCTACGTCTTTACAAGGCCTTGATAAGGGTGCGTGAAGGGAGGATGGCTGATGTTTTCTTCGGCACTTGCACATACTGCACTCCAGGGGGGGATCACACTGTCAGGTGTGAACGTTGTGTATAGCCTATGACCTCATTCCTCCCTCCGCCATGATGACTAGATCCTTAGAGGAAAATGAATGGCCCTCCACGTCTCTTGTCCCTCTCTTCGTCTTGCTCGGATACACCATCGCAACCACTCAAACAACCTTCTAAAGACTCCCCGCATGCGCCGTCATCCAGCACTCACAATTTTCACTAGCCCTTCCTTCGATCTGCTATGAAACGATGTCAGGGACAAGTATACAGGTCGCTGCAGTTAATCCCTTGGTTCTCATCAGAGAACCTGCTGGGTACTACTATCCGTCATTCTGATGTAGTAGGAAGCGTGTAGTAGGAAGCATGCAGCTGGCAATCAAGCATGGTGAATTGAATTTCTGGTACAAGAGGTTAGAAATGTACTGAAGGTCAAAGAAGCTGCTGCGTGATTTCAATTATCAAGTAGCATCCAATTTCGCTGATTCATTGTGCACGGTTTTTGTCGAATCGACTTGCGAAGTCAGTGCTTCTCCCTACAGAACATCTACGGAATTACTTTCCATGTTCTCTTGAGTGTATCAGGTGCACCAGCTGCTGTACACCATGTCAATGAACAATGACACGGCAGGCAGGGAATAATTTCTATTTATTAAACTTTCACTCAAATTCAAAAAACAAAACGTGAACTGAAATTGGAAGATTTCCATTGACCGAGACAGGGGTCGAACCTGCAATCTCCTGATTTCGCATTATTGTAGTCAGACGCGATGCCATTTCGCCACACAGCCATATTGATCTGCTCTTGACACATGTTAGGGGAATCCATTTTCATCTCATTTTCATCTTCATTTGATTAGGCTCGTGACCAACCGTTTCTTTCAAACTCCGCAGGCTACGTTCAGAAATGGCTGGGCCGAACGGATTGAGTCTTGTCGAGGTCACATTTTGTGACACGGGACTTAGTGAAATTTCATTGTGTCGACCGTCATCTGCCTGCATCCTCATCACTCCTGTTCCTCGTCGTCCATCCAGCCTACATCGCGTTCACCCTTGTCACTATCCGACTCATTTGTATCATCAAATTCTTCATCTTCAACCACAATCTCGTCCATACGTCGAAACCGCGGTCAGCAAGAGGTGAAAAGCGTGCATCACAGCTTGGAGATGGAGATGCAAGTGGGGTGAACGAAGATCAACCAAAACGACGACGCACCTCGAACATTCCTCCCACACCTGGCCCGGACCCTCAAGTTCTCGTCGCCCATCACCCTCAAGTTCTCCTCTCACGTTACCAGCTCCATCGACTCCCTTTCCATATCATCATGCTCAACTTCCAACAACTATGTCTTTGAGTCCATTATCCAATATCATATGCGGCACTCACGACTCCTCTGCCCAATTACATCAACTACCTTGAATGCAGTACCCACCACCTGTTCATATCCTATTCCTTCTTATTATCCCACTAATACCCCGTCTTCTTCTTCTTCTCGTCAACCACAAAATCCATTATTATACCCTTATCCGTATCCTAGAAATCCTCCGCCACCACCTCCGCCGCCGCCAAGTACCGAATTCTTTGTATGATTGTATCGTCTCAGTTCTTTTTGTTTTCAAAATCTATGCCATTCACGTTTACAAGTACATTCCATTAAATTATGTGCCTTCAGCATTCTTTTTCGAAGGTGTGTGGCCATCTTATTTCGAAATTTTGGCACAAAACGCGAAATTTCACTAAGTGTTGTGTCACACGTTGGGACCTCGACAAATCTGGCTCCGTTCCGCCCAGTCCTTCGGTGGTGATCTTGCCTTTCACTCTCCGCCTGATGTTTGAAGCCACAACAAAGTCACAACATGGGACAAACACAGTGTGATCACCACCGAACGAACTGGTAGCGAGTCTATCATTTGATGGCTGACAAATTCGGTCACACACCAAATTGGGCAACAACGCCAACCCACAGTCCATTGTTATAGTTTTTATGTACAACACAGTAAGTATCCTACTGTCAGCTATAGTATGTATTTCTTTTCATTTTCTATTTCACAAAAATCATGCATATTTATTTTATTCATGTAAATTACATACAACCAATCTTCATTTAAATTACCTACTTGTTGGTTTGGCACCCATAGGCTGCTGTGGAACCTATAGAAAAACCTATGGCATAGCTTGATGGGTAAGGAACAGGAAACTTTGTTATTTTTCCTTGAAACATTTCTGTAAGAAATAATTTTGGACAGCAACAGAAACCTGACTACATTCCAACTACATTTAATAAACATGTATTTATGGGGAGCAAATAGATACATGGACACTTCAGCTGCTTTGGAGCCAATCCAGCATTGGGAGGGAGCAAGGAACAGGCAATGACAATTGAGCGAGCGCCGAGAAATTCATACTGCGCTGGAAGACCCCGGCATACTCCGGACATGCCATCAAATAAATGGATTCTCGTTACCGGACAGACCTTACTAGTTTACTAGTACTGTTGGTTGACACAGTCACTATGTAATAGTAGTGATACGACCTCTTCAGCTCGAACTCTACAAAACACGAACACGAATTATATCGAAGATGGAAAATAGCGCTTCTGATCGATGACAGGCGTGGAAGGCCGCCATTGCTCAGAATTGTCTCTCGCGCCTTATAAATGAATTCCGGACTAGAACTGGCATCGTGGTCGTTTTCTCCGAGTCTTGGTACCTTGCCCATAACGGATCGCCCCTCAGCCAACGAAGAGCATACGACCACTGGCGACGGGCCCAACCGCGAACGTCCCACCGCGGCTGCACCGATGACATCATCAGTATCGAGAGACCAGCCAGTGCCTTCAACAAACCAAGAACACCCCATATCATCAACTTCCACATTTATGGCTCGTCACCCACAGCAGCCCGCTAATTCTACACAAGGAGAGAACCCACCCCCAGTTTTACCTATTCTTGCTTTGTCAAATGTCCCCCCAGCAACGTCCTCCTCTACGGTCGAAGAAAAAGACATCGCAGATGACGAGGAAGAAGCACATCCACGCCCATTTACCGGCCCCTCCCTCCCCGCCGACATCGAGCCACAGCGATCCGTGACGCTTGATGGGCCGCGCGGAGCTTCGACACGTCAGCCTCGGTCAGGCATTGACTGGATAGTCCCCGTGGACGAAAAGGTTCACACTCTCACAACCGTGTCCTCTAATTTCCTCTTTACTTATCCCGGTTTCATAACAGACCTTTCGACAAAAAGCCATCGGGGAACAACTGGATCCTACACTCATAACAGCCATTTCAGAGCGAGACAGGTGTGCGCTCAATGCGAAGATGGCGGGGTACGCACTCAACGCGGCGATTGGGCTTCAAGTCCTTTTGGGGTCTTTGACGACGGGGTTGGCGGCTGTGACGAGTGGGCGGCAGGTGCTCTTCCTTTCCTTCTTTCCTTCCTTCCTGTCGTCATCGAAATGGTCGTTGAACTGATTTGGAGCGCATATATGCACTTATATAGACGGCGATTGCGACTATGGTCTTGGGTACGTTTTAACATGCATATATGCGTTCTGATTTATTTTACATACATAGGCGGACTATCGACCATCGTCGCTTCGTACCTTGCTCGAGCCCGGGGTTCCAACGAACCCGAACTGTCCATTGCGCGATTGAAAGACCTGGAACAGTTCATCTGCGAATGCGAGGCGTTCAAGATGGACAATGGGCATGTGTATGGGGACAAGTTTGATTCAGCATTGGAGGACTTTAGAGCACGGTTTGAGGAACTTTTGGGGAATGTGAATGGGTGAGCGCTTCGTCATGTTTGTTTTTTGAGTGCTGCTGTTTTTTTTCTGATTTGGAGGCACTAGAGAACGTCGACTTGCTCCGCCTGTGTGACACTGTACGAATGGGACATTGACATTGTTCGCTTTACATAACTTTATTTTACATTTGTACTTCCCTCGTCGCATCCAGCATAGCATTTGTAGCATGTTTCCATCCATCCTTGTAATTTACATTCCGGCCGCCTTCGCGCATAATACCACCCAAATGTACCCGCTCATGATGAATAATCACCCCCATGGTTCGCCTTTGGCACGCGAATCTATCAGCCAAATCAGGTAAGAAAAACAAGTAAGCATCACTTCGGTCAATTGATCAAACTCGCCTTTGAAATGTTCTTCTGAATCACATCAACCAAAATCGCATATTCATTCCGAATCTCCCTCAACCGTTCCCTCGCAATGTATATTTGGCGTTTATCGTGTTCTTCTAGAGCACGCTGCGCAGTGCGATTTTTTTTTCTTTTTCAAACGCATCATTTTAAGGGCAAGAGAACTTGACGAACGGCATAATCTTTAACATTCGGGTATTTACACAACTTTGAGCAGATCCTCGCGTGGTCGAGGTGGTGATCGAGTGCTGCGCTGCGGAATATTGTGGCTGATTTGTCGGCGATAAGGATCTGGTCGAGGACCTCTGGGAGAGGGGATGAGTTGTGAGGAATTGTGAGATGGGAGGAAGGTATACGTACTTTCTTGGACTTGGACACCTGTATTGTTATAGACTTGAGATTGGGAGGAACAAATTGGAAGCCGGCGGGGACATACCAAAGTTGTCGCCACTGGGGAAGACAGCGTGTTTATTTGAATTAGAAAAATCAAAGAAATGCAGACGACAAACTCTTCAATCCTAAAGTGAAAGATCTGACATCTCCCTCAAAAAAAAGGGGGGGCGAAGGACGTACTGGGGTATCGTTAATATGATCCACACTTCCACTTGTTCCTAAACGTTCAAGTTCAAATGGGATCAATCATTGAGTCAGAAATGAAAGTAAACAAAAAACCACGCACGGAAAGAAGCATCATTTCCTCGACCTGCTTCGATATCACCTCATGTATCTTCTGAATTCTGGGGTTATCGTAGACGAGGCCAGGGTGTTTCGCATATTTCGTGTCGTTGACGTGCACAGTGTCCTCCTCTTTTTCAAATATTCAATGCCTCAGAGCATTGGGTTGTAAGGGGGATGTGTGCATACCCGAAGGGGTTAAATACACCGTCGTATCTGTATTTCCCGTCAGATTTGATAGGGAGAATGGGGAAGAGGGATCGGCGTCCATTGATTGAATTATTTCTTGAAGTTCGCTGTAAGGCGTGTCGCCTTTTCAAGTTGTGAGTGTTGGATTTGGGGTGGTACGTACAATATCTGGTTATCCGTTTGCGAATTGTTAGTGAGATGCTAGAGGTGATGGGCCGTGTAGTACCTTGCTAGGAAACACGCGAAATACGACATCTTCCCCCTTTCCGCTGCATCTTCGTAGAATTTCTGGGTTGAGGAGTGTGTAATGTTGAGTTCCTTCCTTCCTTGTGTAAAAGTCCAAGAGAACGCACCTTTACTTTGGTGTCGAGCTCTTTCTCCATGTACGTTGTAGAGTAGATTGGGAATACTTAGAGCGTGGTATCATGTATGACGAATGACAATCACAATCAGGGCGATCAACTAGACCAAATAACCGGTCTCCTGACAGTGAAAAGTCTAGTGTTGCCGCAAGCCAAGGTCGAGGCTGGTCGAGGTGGCTCACCAGGGTGGCTCGAGGCTCCTCGAGCTGAAAAACAATCAAACTCCAATCAGCTGTAGGTAACCTCGGCTTGCAGCAAACAAGAACTAAGGAAGGTGAGGTGATGGTGGAAGAAGAGATGACACCTCAGGCCTCAGGCCTTGTCATGGTAATGGTAATAATTTCAAGTTGACTAAGGTAGACGACAACCATACACAACCCTCTGTGACGTGACATAACGCTCCTTTTTTGGCAAACAGAAATGAGAAAAGTCGAAGAAAAGGCCATAACAATTCTGTGCATAAAGTTAGGGAAAATCGACGACCATAGAACTATTAGAATTAGTGCTCTAAAGATATATACAAATTTATAAAGTAGGAGAATGAAAATTGGGGGAGGAGATACAAAAATACTATGGTAGGTTCCTGAAGCTCAGATTGACCGTCAAAAGCCTTCGTCGCATCGAAGTTTCGATCCAAAATTGACTATAATGAATTCCTAAAGGTTTCATATCTTGCGGGGGTTGTTGTTCTCTGATATTTGTTAGTTAAGACACGTCCTTGAGTAATTGAACACCCAGAAATAGAATCCCCTCATTCTCCTTTGCAGTTTTAGTGGAAATCTACCCAGAGGGGTAGATAACACTGCTCACAAGACGAACCAACAGAAATAAACCACGTCTATGATTCTGGAGGTTCTAGAGGGAAAGTATGGGTACAGGAGAGTAAGATGCATATGGGAAGATGGTGGTAAGAGTCCAAGCGCGGAAGCGCACAGGAAGAAGTAGAAATACGAAAGAGAAGCAACAAGTCCAAACAATGGTAACAGGTCCAAATAAGAGTAATCCGGGACCAGGATTACACCCTCCCCTGCTTTAAAAAGAAAAAGAGAGGAAAAAAAGAAAAATGTTAGTAATAATATAAGTAAATCCAAGCACCGGGTGCATCAAAACCCAATGGGAAAAAGCTACCAGCTGGCAAGGTGGAAAGAAATCTACTTAAAAAATCAAGAAGATCCATTCCGCGAGGCCAGCCATATGTCGAGAGCTTCACAATCTTCTAGTTCAGAACCAGGTAGCCATTCATCATGTTCTTTACCGAAGCCGCGCCAGCAGACTAGGTATTGATAACCTCGTCCGCGATGGCGTGCATCCAATATTCTGTCGATATATTGTTCTTCATTCCCATCCTCAGTGATTATAGGAGCCGGTTCTTCAAAATGACGGGATGGGAATTGTTCTGTATCTGATTCGATGTACGGAATCACTTGTGACATGTGGAATGTAGGGAAAATATTCGTCGAATTAGGAAGATCAAGGGTAACTGTTGAGTGTTCCTCGTCGACATCAGTGATTGTGTAAGGGCCATCGTAATGTGAGAAGTTTCGGCTGCAGGTTCAATCCTGGCCCATGGCAAAGCTGGTTGTGGGACCGTGGGAATGAATACTGTTAGTTGCAAGGGGGTAGACCCTTGGGGTGGCCTATATGAGCACTCCCACTTTGGAAACCCCATGAGGAACTCCAGGACTATGGGATTGGGACCAGGTCTGTACGAGGGGGCAAAGTTCCAGAGATAGGGAGGGTGTAATCATGGCATGATTACTACAGTTCCCATACTGTATCATATATAGGATGCACTGGCTGAGAATATAACTTCTCAGTTATTCTGCCTTTTGGCTTAGGTGGTCCTTTGTGCATTCTAGGGACTGCTTACATTAGTTTGGACTTGTTGCTTCTCTTTCGTATTTCTACTTCTTCCTGTGCGCTTCCGCGCTTGGACTCTTACCACCATCTTCCCATACACATCTTACTCTCCTGTACCCATACTTTCCCTCTAGAACCTCCAGAATCATAGACGTGGTTTATTTCTGTTGGTTCGTCTTGTGAGCAGATGCCCCTGCCATCCACCAACGTCGAGTGACTGCGGCGCTAAGGATGCTGATTGGGAAAATTTGTCATATATATTTGGATGACATCGTAATATGGTCAAACTCTCTAGAAGAACATGAATGTAATGTCTGGACTGTGCTGGAAGCACTGCGTGCAGCACGCTTGTATGTAAACCCTGATAAAACACATTTGTTTTGCACCGAGATTGATTTCCTGGGGCACCACATAAGTGTACGCGGTATCGAAGCTGATAACAAAAAAGTTGAAAAGGTCCTCAACTGGCCTGTACCAAAATCAGCTACAGAAGTTAGAGGTTTTCTGGGCCTTGTCCATTACATCACTGCATTTTTGCCATCGCTTGCTGATCATACTGGCGTACTCTCCGAACTGATGACGAAACATTCCGAATGGAACTTTCCACGTTGGGCGCCTAGACATCAAAAAGCTTTCGACGCAATAAAGCAAATTGTAACGAGCCGGGATTGTCTGACAACAATTGACTTTTCCAAAATGCCAGAGTACAAAATATTTGTAACAACAGACGCAAGTGACAAGTGTTCCGGCGCAGTGCTATCCTTCAGACCGTCTTGGGAAAATGCGCGGCCAGTAGCATTTGACTCAATGACATTCAAAAACGCTGAACTGAATTATCCGGTACACGAAAAGGAGTTGCTTGCAATAATACGTGCACTCAAAAAATGGTGCATTGACTTGTTAGGGTCGCCTTTCTTCATCTACACAGATCATAAAACATTGGAAAATTTTAACGTTCAGAAAGACCTGTCACGACGACAAGTGCGCTGGATGGAATTTATGTCCCAGTTCGACGCTAAGGTCATCTACATCAAGGGAGAGGACAATACAGTTGCAGATGCCCTTTCCCGCTTACCTTCTCCACAATCTCTGACTGATTCTGAAAATACTGTGCAGCATCCCTACAACTTCTGTGACGATGATGAAGGCGAGGCAACAATTGCAAGTGTAACCTTCCCGCGCTTGTGTGGTCCATGGGAATCCGCGACTTGCTTGGCGTCACGTGAACCTATACTTCCGGCAATCGGCGCCACCTTGGAGATAACTGCAGATAAATCCTTTTTAGATGCTGTCAGATTGGGTTATGCAGATGATGCATGGTGTAAAACACTACCTGCTGCTGCCGTCAGTTGGCCTGAGTTGGTTTTCCGCAATGGCTTATGGTATGTGGAGAGAGATCATACCAATGTCAAACAACCTCTGTGAATTAATATGCAGTTGACAGTTTCAGTTTCACGCCCGTCAATTTGTGCAAGGCTTTCCAAAATCTCGAGACGAAGAGTTTGTCTCAGTCGGAAATGATTTCAGATGGCAAGCCATTTTCGCAATACCAACGATCAAAAAATAGATATGCCAGATCTTCAGCAGTAATATCGGTCCGAGACGGTACTAACTGTATATCACTGCCCAGACGATCAGTGAAGGTGATAATAGAGTTTTTCCCGTTGTCTTCTGGAAGCAGACCAATAAAGTCAATCGCTACAGAGTCACCCTGTTGATCAGGGATTGGTAATGGGTGAAGAGGGCCATAAGGTTTAATTGTCAATGATTTGTTGCGCTGGCAATCGGGACAAGAAGGCACATAGCCTTGCTCGAGATCACGACGCATGTTAGGCCAATAGTATGCATTCCTAAGAGAACCGTACGTTTTGTAACATCCAAAATGGCCAATCAAGTCGTGTGCGAGCATGAACAGGGTTTCACGGAGGTTGTTTGACCTTGGTATGATCAATCTCTCTCCAACATACCATAAGCCATCACGGAAAACCAACTCGGGCCAACTGACAGCAGCAGCAGGTAGTGTTTTACACCACACGTCATCTGCATAACCCGATCTGACAGCATCTAAAACAACTTTTTTGTTATCAGCTTCGATACCATGTACACTTATGTGGTGCCCCAGGAAATCAATCTCAGTGCAAAACAAATGTGTTTTATCAGGGTTTACATACAAGCGTGCTGCACGCAGTGCTTCCAGCACAGTCCAGACATTACATTCATGTTCTTCTAGAGAGTTTGACCATATTACGATGTCATCCAAATATATATGACAAATTTTCCCAATCAGCGTCCTTAGCGCCGCAGGCACTCGACGTTGGTGGATGGCAGGGGCATTTTTCAAACCCATTGGAATTACCAGCCATTCGTAGAGGCCCAAGGGAGTGTTTACCGCTGTTAAATGTACATGATCCGGATGCATCCTCGTCTGGAAAAAACTGTTTGTCATATCAATTGTACCCCAGATCTGTCCTTTTGCACAATCATTTAGGATATCATCAATGCGGGGTAAGGGGTGACTATCTGTGACAGTGTTTTCATTAAGCTGCCGGTAATCATTTACCCAATGCGGCAATATGTTGGGGTTTGCCTTCAGCACAATAAATGCGGGCAAAGCACACGGAGAAGAAGAAGGCCTAATGTGGCCTGCGTCCAAATGTTGTTGAATTAAAATCTGCCAGGCCTGTTTGTATTTCCGCGGTGATGGATACGAGCGTGATTTAATAGTCTTTTTAGCATTTTTGATTTGAATTTCAGCGACAATATCTCGAGGTAATTCGTCGGCGTGAGGAATAGGTTCAAAAATCTCCTTGTATTCTGTTTTCAAAGCAGTTTCACGTGTCGCCAGTTGTTCCTGTGCAACAAGAACATTGATACGATCACGGACAGCACCGGCGACGTCAAAGTCTTTGACGTGTTCTGGTTGTAGTTTTTTATTCTTTAATCGATCATGGCATACTAACATCAGTTCCGCAAGTGCCAATTTCTTATCTGCCTTTGTTATCTTTATTTGTTCATGCAGACGAGGTTTGGGAGGTGGCGGCGGTACAATGTCAGGGGGGTTCAAC